CTTGAGAGATTTAAATCTGCAATAAAGTGTCCTGCAACGTGTTGCGTTTATCTTACTTAAAAAGCCAGTACAGACGTGTGTTTACTGTGGTGTCTGTAGGTACCTGTGAGTTACAGGTATCATAAATGCTCTCCTGGTGGTAGAAGATATTCAAATAGGTCATAAAGCCACCCGTAATCCCATGAGCCAAATAAAGTCTATAGCCTTTGAGTCTTTGTTAGCAAATGCCTAGGATTCTGTTACACATTTTCCATATAAATTATTTGTGCCCTACCACTGTGTAAGTTGACCTGGAATGCCATTGCGCCCCTTAGTGATAGGAGAACACGTTCAGGAGCACCGTTTGTGGCCTTGATAGAGGAAGAGATGCCTCCTCCTCCTGTTCACTGGTCAGGCCCCCGTCACTAGCAGAGAAGCTGCCATTTGTTCTCTCTGGAGGGACACCTCATTCATAGGGAACTTTGGAAACGGAGGTCCCCTGCTTTGGTCACTTCCATGGATCACACTGGGACTCACGCTTTGAACATTCGTACTTCCCTGGAAACGTTTTCTGGGATCCCTTAGAAGTCACATTTGCTGTCATCTGGGTGCTAAGAGCAGATGGTGTGAGCCAGGGACCTTTCTCCCTTTCTTCCACCTCTTCTGAAACGCCCCTTCCTGCCCCAGGGTGGACCAGAGGGGCCCGTGAAGACCGGTGCCGTCTCTGCCCTCGGGTTTCCCATGCAATAATGTGCGGTGAGGGACAGGCCACAATCGCCCCACTGCCGCTGGGTGTACAGAGTACATTTGTCTCATAAAAACCCTGGACGTGCCCCAGAGGGTCAGCTAATGCTGCCACCCATGCCCCATCCAGAATGGGGGGGCCTGCAGCTGATTCCGCACAGAGCTCCAGCCGTGGTCCGTCCGTCCGGGACCATCTTGGCCAGCAGTGACCCTCTGAGTCTTTTTCGTTAGGGCCTCCCAGCTGTTTTCAATCCTTCTGAATTGTTCTGGCTAAAATAAATTATAAATTGTAATAGGAGGTTTGTTCCAGCATTCATATTTATTAGATTTTAAGATTTAATGACCATATGGGCCTAAAACAAATGTTTGATTTTTTTTTTTTTTTAAAGAGCAGTCAAGTGAAGTCTCTTGATTTTAACTATTTAAATATTCATTTGTGGCTATAACCCATTTTTGGGTCCTGCAAAAAAAAAAAAAAAAAAAGGTGGGTGGCTTTTGAAAAACAAAGGTTTGGGGCAAATGGCTGACCAAGAGGAATTTTGAAGCCTTCTTCAATTAAAAAAAAGATTTTCGTATTTCTTGTCAAATGTAGCTTGGGCCAGTTGATCTGAGACCTTTTGGTCTTCCTAGAAGAAACAGACTTTAATTGTCTTTCTTCTTTTATTAAATATGTTTTTGGTTGTTGATTGACTTCTAAAAAAATTTATTTACATGCAGCGGTGAGAATGGAACCCAGTACCTCACCCATATTAGGCAAGCGCAGTATCACTGAGCCACAATCCCAGCCCCTTTCTTACTTACTTATTTTTTTTAATTAAAGTTTTATAGTCATACCTGGTAGTTGAGTTCATCGAAACAAACTCACATGCATGAAATTTGATGTCAATGCATGATCCCCCTTTTCCATTTCCTATTCCTTCTACTCTCCCACACCCCCATATCTTCCAGACTGGTTGACTTTGGTGTAGTTAACAGTGGAAGGGCCTTTAATTAATTAATGTTTATTTTCTAATTAATATTTTATTGCCTCAGTGAGAAGTGAATGCAGTATTCTTGAAAAGGAATTATAAATAAGGCTAAAGTAGCCTTAAACTAGTGTCTCTGATCCCTACCCCTCCTCGCTCCAGGAGAAACATCCCTGTCATGTTTGATGGGGACATTCACCACCAAAAGCCAGGCATGTGTGGGCAACTGTCCCCTGCCACACCTGCATTCTGCTGCTTGCTGTTTTAACACCTCATTATGTTTTGGAGGCCTTAAGTGTTTTGTAGTTTTGGTGTTTTTATTGTTGTTGTTGTTGTTGTTGTTTTGGTACCAGAAGATTACACCCAGGGGCACCTAACCACTGAGCCCCATCCCCAGCCCTATTTTGTAATTTAGAGACAGGGTCTCACTGAGTTGCTTAGGGCCTCACTAAGTTGCTGAGGCTGGCTTTGAACTCACGATCCTCCTGCCTCAGCCTCCCAAGCCACTGGGATTACAGGTGTATACCACAGGCAACCTGCAGTGTTCTTATCTGTCAACTGAGCTCATTTCTTTGAACCAGTGCAGAGTGTTCAAAGAACACATGGGTGGGCCACCCCCAGTTTATGTAATCCTTCCAGTGGTTTCCAGGTTTCCTGTATGCCAACAATGCTGCAGTGAATGTCCACCTGGATGCATCTTGGGTGGTGTGTGCATCTCTGTGATGAGAAGGAAAAGTGCGCTTTAGTTTGGGTCTGAACATTGTAAGAGACTGGCCAGTGTGGATTGAAACCATCTTGCCCTGACTCCACCTACCTAGGTGGAGATTCCTAATGCATATTTTTATATGAGGTCATTAGGATCCCAGGCAGAGTCAGGTTCTGTAAAAGCTAGCTGTAATGAAACCTGGTTTATTTTACTTAACTAAGAATGCTTCAGTTAGGGGGCTATCTGAATTTAACCATGCAATATAATATAATTTTGAGTGCATCCAGTGATCCATATTATTTTTACAGAAATCATATGAATCTACCTGAAAAGGCCTAATGATTATTTTCAGATTAATAAAGAAATATCAGAATTTTTCAACTCGTTGTCTATGGGCGAAATATTTCTCCTAAGTCTTTTTTATACGTTGATATGCTTAGCAGATGGGTTCTCCCTAGTTAGAGCAAGATAATCATACCCACTTCCTTTTTGAATGACGTCACTTGGCCAAGGAAGGTGAGAGATTTAGATGTTGGAGGTGACTTAGGTAGAAGGCTTTTAAACAGCCAGGCCTGGTGGCACACACCTGTTATCCCAACGATTTGGGAGGCTGAGGCAGGAGGATCATGAGTTCAAAGCCAGCCTCAGCAACTTAGCAAGGTCCCGGATAACTTAGTGAGACCCTGTCTCAAAGCAAAATATAACAAGGGCTGGGGATATGGCTCAGTGGTTAAGCACCTGGGTTCAATCCCTGGTACTACAAAAAGATGAAGAAGAAGGCTTTTAAGCATTTCCCCTTATTTATCTTTGCTATCTTGGGAAGTGAGATTTATTATTTCCATCTCGCCTCTGGAGAAACTGAGGCATTGAGGTTCTAGGGTGTCATGCTAAGGGTTGCCTGAGTTTACCTTAATTGAAAAAAAAATTTGTTCTTTCTAGAGTTTCCTTAAATATGGTCCTCTGACATCTTGCATCAGATGGCCTAGGAAGAGCTGTTAATTAACACTGCAGATTCCTGGGCCCCTGAGGTTGGCGCCTGGGGTTCTGCATTTTTAACCAGGAACCTAATGTTCCTGAGGCACTCCAAAGTCCCAGAGCCAGACTGTGCTGACCTCATTCTGGCAATGTGAGGAGCCTCCGTGGAGACGGTCCCCAAAGTATCTCAGCAGGAGTGATTCTTGTCACGCTTCACTTGCAGTGGGCACACCCGTGTTGCTCCTCTGGGTGACTACGTCCTCCCTCGCCCACTTCCGTTGCCTGGAATTACTTGTGCTGAACTTCTCCTGGCTCATGGCTGGCTTGACAAGTCACTTCCCAAAGAGTTGACATCATCCTGGTACTGCACAGGAATCGCGCTCTCAGGAACAAGTTGAAATTTCTTCTGCAGAATCCACAGATCCCAAGTGTATCTCTGTCACTTGGTATATAAATGGAATCTGCCTTTCGCATTCTAACCCCTGCCGGGACAGAATAAATAAATAAATAAATGAAGGTGGCAGCTTGTGAAAAGGATCACTTCTGAAACCCCAAGATGTGCCTTATTTTTCTTTCTCACCTCTCTTTCTCACACTCCACCGGTGACACATTCCCTCTAAGCCTGCCCCTAGTTGCTACTGAGTTTTCTAGAAGTGCAGAGATCACTGTTTGG